CATCGCGTTCCACAGACTATTTTACATACACAATACTAAGTATATTTACACATACGAAAAAAGATTAAACAACATAAGTTCAAAGTATAGTTGCTGTGATATAGAGTTTTGGAAGGAAAATATTATTTTCTAAAGTAGAACAAACTGGTAAATTTTGAGATAGATATGAACCGAAATTATGGTTCCTCCATAGTAATTCCCATACAAACTTCAAATGGTTTGAGCCAAGTCAGTTTCTCACTAAATGAGTTCAAATTTTGGGAGGCTAATCAAAGCCCGATTTGGAACCGTTTGAGCACTGTGGAGCGGAAAATTTTGCATCAGTGTAGTGTGTATGTAAACGTTCAAATATACTTTCATGTCATTTCGATCATCGCTTCGCTTCAAAATATCTTCTTATTATATCCAACATTTTTTTTTTGGCCATTTGTAGTATTGCCGCCAGCAATATGACATCTTATGCAGTTTGTCGTATGAGCACTGCCACCATTTTTTAAGCACAGTGCCTTCCAAAGTTTAGTCAACAGATGGTAGTAGCAACCGGTGAACACTCGTGTTTATTTCAGTTACCATGGAGACATAATTTGTGATTAGCCCCGGTCCCTTTCAAATTGTATCATTATTTATGAACGGCCTTATATTTGAAATGACGTTTTACATTCATCTAGTGATGTCCGATTTTCATTCGAATAATCGTTTAATCGATTAACGAACCGAAAAGTAAACTATTTATAATCGGTTAGATCATGCCGATATAAGCATTAACATCTCCACAGGATCGTCACCGATCGTTTCAAACATGTGCTGCACTCTCTCTGGTGGAAAAATGGCAGCACAGCGAACAAAAAATAATCGGTTAGTTGTTAATCGAGTAATTAAAAAATGGGACATCTCTGATTTTGGTGTGATTGTTTTGATAAAAATGAGCGCAAAATTTCATCTCTTCCGAGGGGGCAGCAAAACCACAAAATTACCTTGAATACGGGGGGTTCTCATTGGATGAAAGGGACCGTGAAAGAGGACACTAAAATAGAGAGTTTTTCTTCCGACAGTTTCATCTTAGTATTCATCTTTGGTAGTAGTGCTTTGTGGACGATGTTTTACAGTCATATTCACAGTACTAGGGGAAATGGCTCTAATGTCGGCCTATGGATCTAAGATTGGGCCCATCGGTGAAAATTTGCTATTTATCAATTTTATCTAGATGAACGCATCGCAAATGAAAATTTAGTCGATAGCTGAATTTACGTATGGGCTCAAATTAAGCGTATTTAGGCTGACATTACATCCATTTCCTCTATATCAGTTTGTCTATGACGTGTCTATATCGTGACGTGTTAGAAAGCTTAGCCTCAAGTGGCCAAGCATGGTTGAATTTTTCTGCCCTAATTCGTGTTTATCGTACAGTGTTATTTTATAAGGAGTGTTAAAAGCGGTCTGACTTCGCTAGGCCCTTGATCCCTGGTCTAGCCAACGGGGATCACTGAGGGTGGGTTCTTCAACAACTTCTTTTGTGGTGGCTTTAGCTCGAGCATGAAAGATGACCCTTCAGGGTCAGCTGTAGCTAGGATTGTTCGATCAAATATTGAAAGCACTTTCTCCCTTATTAATTAGCATTTTATTTCGACTTACTGTGTGTGTGTATGTAGGTAGTGTCTAACGATGCGGCCGGATGCAAGCACGAAATGCGGCAATGTCGCCTTTGCCTTGACGCTCGGGGTAATGCCTACGCCGAATCCAAGAGGGACGGATCGTACGCCGGATTGGCAAATCACACTCCTTCAGACGTCGGCGCTAGAAGTCCAATCGCACGCCGGAATGGCGGATAACTTTCTGGACAATACAGGTGGTTAATAATGACCGCTCACTCTACAGTTATAACATACTCCTATGGGAGGACGTCTCTATTGGTCAATTAGCGTCTTCATTGTGCCCTTTGCCGATCCTTCCATGGGTCCTGTCGAACCATATTTCTTGTTCTCATTTAGTTGTTTAACTTATTATGATTTATTGTTATTTTCTGTATTTTCGTTTTTAGGTTTGCTTCTTGTAAACAGCCGAGAACTAACGTTTGAATTTTGTACTGAACCTTTGGACTTCGATAAATCCGTTACAGCAATTTCATTGACCTGACTACGACGATGTGTATTTTCGTGAGACTTGTGGAAAATGCTCCAAAATTTTTCATCAATAATACGTCCGTATCTTTTCAGTTTGGGCAAAGATCTGACTCCAGCACCTGTCATGGCGTTCTTATAGTCGAAGCGAAGATTACGCCAAATGATGTCAAACTTTCTGCGTTCTGAAATTAGCCTGATCATAGAATGAAAAATTCTCATCATGTCATGCAGATAATCAGTCAATTTTTCACCCCTGGCCTGCCGTCGTTCTGCGGCTTGAACCTCAAGTTGAAAGTTTAAACCGGGTGGTAAAAATTACCGTTTTAGTTCTCGTTTTAATTCATACCAATTCCGAAAATCTCTATTTTCAACTCCCTAAATGAACCAATCTTTCGCGCGACCTGAGAACAGGTGAATCGCACCTCGGAATAATTCTTTTTCAGAAATATCTTCAGAGATGCATCTCATTTTCACCTCTTTAAGAAACTCAGTCAGCTTTCGACCCTGATCTCTTCCCTCATATTTTAGTTTCCATTCTGCCACAGGAATGCGCTCTCTATACCTTCTATTATCCCTCCTAGGTTTCTCTCTTCTCTTATGTGATCCCGAACTACTATCGGAATATGACAAATCTGAGCTCTCGGAATCTGAGGTTGTATTGGAAAATGATGAAAAGCTGTGTCTACGATGGTGTTTTCTCTTTTGCTGTTTAGACGATCTATCTCTTTCCTTATGTCTAAACTTGTTCTTCCTTGATTTTGTTGTTGGCTTCTCTCTCTTCGGAACTTTCCTCCTGTGAGCTTCTACATAAATCTTCTGACTTCGGTTCATCGTATTTCTTCCTCTCATTTTTACTACTTTTCTTCATGTCCTCCTTCTTGATTTTTAAATCCTCCATTCTTAGATTTCCCAGTGACGTCTTTTCCTCTCTCTATCTCTCTAGGGGCAATTGCTTATCTTCTGGTTCCTTTTTCAGATGATCGTTTAAATTTACTAATAGTTTCTCCAAGCGTTTCTTTCGCTCCATGTTATCGTATGCTTCTTCAATTTTTCGCTCTTACTCTTCAATTTGTTTCTTTCTCATGAGTCGTTGTTGTTCTGTAGTCTGCACAACGAACGTTTTAAAAAGAGAAATAAGGTCCACCGATTTTTCCTTTTTCCCTTCTTCGATCTCATTTAACTCTCTCAGTAGGGTAAGTGACCCAATAGTGGGGGAGCTAAGCACAATTAATTCTCATTTCACTAAGTTATGATACAATAAAATGCATAATACTGAAGTGTTTTATCATTTTCCGATAGTGTGGATCTTCTTCTATCATTTAACAGCGTTAACCTACTTAATAAAGTCTATTGGAGCTCGAAATTAGTTATGACAAGCTGAACGTATTTGTTCCTATAGTTGCGGTAATGTTCCTATAGTTGCGTATGGCTGTTCCTATAGTTGCGTTATATATGGTTCAACCATTTAAAATACCTTTCGTATATGGTACTTGTGTATAAGGGATATGAATGCATTATATTATCAAACCGCATGGGGTTGATTTGATTCTCAAATGATATATAGATTATACTGGTTGGACAGTTTCACAAATTCATTGGTAACAGGGTTCCATCGTACATGCCATACATTAAATATATATTCATGAATTGGTTGACGAAAGCTCTCACGTAATAATGGAAGAAAATGCCTCAAAGAATACTTTGTTGCGAGCATTAAGGCTTTGTGCTACTTAAGGTACTACTGATTGCTTAGCGAAGCTGGGGAAGCTCAACATTCAATTTACAGCAATGCAATGCATATAAAACACACGTAACAGAAGCGCCAAAATGTCAGGAAGAAAGAGATGAGCATAACTAATTCGCAATTTATATATTTTATTGGATTTAATGAAATGGTGAGATGAAAACCAATAAGTTTTCAGATCAGCGTTTCTATCTATTTCGAAAGAAAGTATGGAACAAATGACTAAAAATACAAGCAATGCAGATTATTTAAGATAAGATTTAAGTTTATAAACACGTTTGTTTTTTCGCGTTTTTTACGCTTCATCGCAGCTGTTTTTACTCGCTTCTCCTGTCGCAAATTTTCACGTTCCTGTTTCCTTATGGCCGATTCCTGACGTCCACGTTCACGTGTTACTGCTTTCAGTTTCTCACCTTCAGCTTTTTCTTAAGCCTTTTTCTTCCTTTGCTCAAGAGTTACTGCTTTCAGTTTTTCAGTTTCAATTTTTCGTTCAGCACGCTTCTCAGCTTTTTCCTTCCTCTGTTGAACAGTGTTTATCTTCTCATCTTCGATTCGCCGAATTTCGTCTAAGCGTTCACCTGCCGTTAGTACAGGGTAAAATTTGCGCTTGTAATTTCGATGAACACGATTTCTTTTCGGAGTTTCAGGACATTCAAGGAAGGTGGAAATGCTCATCTTCCTTTTCAAACCTCGTTGTTCGTTAGAAATATCTACCAAAACGTGTTTCTCTTGTTCAGTAACATGTGTACCTGTGCCAATGCTAGATGATTCTACTGAGCATTCTAAGGCATTGAGAGACATATTGCTAAAAGTAGCAATGTTATCTGTAAATTTTATAATTTTATGCATCAAAATCTTTAATTCATACAACTTTAAATTTACCTGCTATGGCATCAGTTAAATTTATGGTGATATCGTGTGACACAGGAAAGATTTTAACACATTCGCTTAATCCAGTATTGCTTAAATTATCCGTATATAATTCAAGCGCTGTATTCCAGAGGTCGTTGTTTAAAGCTGGTTCTGATTCGCTTATCACTTCCAAAGAGATGCATTCTTGAATCTCATCTGATCTCTCATCGAGAATTGGCAGATTAACTATAAAGTTATGTAAAAAAAAAGATCAATGCTTGTTTTTATGCCTTCCACGCATTCTTCAAAGGTTTAAAGATGGCTACGTCAGCAGGCTGAGTTATTTGTGTGGTATTAGGATACAATACTATAAGTATTATTCCTAAATCGAGGCACAAGTCAGCCACATCTACAGCCATGTGGAATGAATGCCCATCAACAAAATAGAGTACTGGGAATGTTACACCTTTTTTCAAAAGAAAGGGATAAAAAACTTTCTGAATATACAACTCGAAATTAGGAGCATCCATCCATCCTTTGGCACTTTTTCCAATGCCCCAGTCCGCTGGGAATGTCCGCAATAAGTCAGCACGAATCCTTTGCATTGGCAAGATGATATTCGAAGGTACAATAGAGCCATCCGCTGCAAAACTGAACATCACAGTTATGTTCGTGTGAATGTTGGCGTGTTCCACTTCATAAACATTACGACTCCCACGAGCAGCTAGTACTGCTTTAGTTTTGGGATGAAGGAAGAAAGAAGTCTCGTCACCATTATAGACCCTTGATGGATCGAGAAGAATACCGGACTGGTTTCGTTCCTCTAAGTACGAATCCACGTTGGTGAACCAGCTCCGAATATTACACTCGGATACATTAGCACTGGCTGTAGAAACAGCTTCTGGCGTTCGCAGTGAAAAAGATTTATGTCGCTGGAGGAAACTGTTAAACCATATACGCCCTAAAATTGCAAATATTTTTGTTAAATAAATATGCCACCATGAACTTAGATCTACTTACCAGGAGCATTGTTCGGAAAAGGATTTGGCCGCGATGTAGTATCAAAGAATGTTTTGATCTTCGAAAAGAGTGTTTCCTTCACGACCGGAAAACCCTTTCTCTGCATTTCTTTGAGCCACACCACAATTTTTTCCTCTTCATATTTCGACATCACTGTTTGCGGACCTTTCCGAGCCTTCTTGCTCCATTTGTCACTGAGGCGAAACCTGATAGTGGATTCCGGAACACCGAAGGATTTTGAAGCACCGTAAATGGTTTGTTTACCATTTTTCACGTTCAAAATACACTGCCGCACGGTGTTCTCATCGTACTGCCGACGCTTGCGTGATGATTTTTTCTTTTGCCGTTCAGTTACCATGAAACACATTTCGCTAAAATATGCACTACGATTAGACTATAATAATGACTAACTTACATAAATATTTAAACTTGAAGATTAGTAGGAAGACAATAAATTTTCTCCGCCGCGAGTGAATGGTAAACAAGAGCTGCGGCAGCAATTGTCAAACTTACAGCTTAAAGCAATGCAGTGCGCCCGAACGTGCGGAATATACCACAACTAAAGGAACGTAATGTAATTTGTGTTCCAATAATGGAGGCACCAAATTAAAGGTTCAAATCAAATTATTGAACGATTTTCACATTCTGTATGGTAGATATCATAGTATCTGATGCGTAGGAACATATTTATTGATATTATTTATGAAATACGGTATGAAATATCATTAAAAATGTGAGGCAGAATGTACAGAAAACGTTAGTGGTTGGTGCAGTTAATCGTCAGCTGAATAAAAAATCATAATTTTTTGACACCTAGTGTTTTTAAGAAGGCAATAACTGTAATAAAAAGCATGAAAACGTTTAATGTTTGTGTTTTTTTTATCCATTTTAAGTATAATTGACTTTAATTTAAAGATATAATATGTGTTTATAGCAATACCGCAACTATTGGTACTACCGTAACTATAGGAACATTTACCCTAACTCTTCTGATCTCTTCAATGAATCATTCATTTCCTTCTTTTTCACCGCTAAGGATAAATTCCCTACTGCTTCTTCATTTTCTAACTGCTCATCTATCTCTTTCCCCGACACTGTTGTTTCATGCCGAACTTCGATTTCAGTTCTGACTTCCTTTAGTACCTTATTCAAATCCGTTTCCAATATTTCCGTCTCCGAACGATACTCCTCATCACTTAACTCTGCATAATGTTTACTGAAAATTTCACTTGCCTGTCTAATAATTTTTATTATTTCAGTCCTAAACTTTTCAGCACCTGAAGCTTTGCTGAGAAAATAAATTCGAACTCGATAATGAACTACGCGCGTTTTGAGCTCTTCCCGCTGACGGGCATCCAGTTTAGATTTTTCTAGCAGATCAGCAATGATTTTTAACTTTGAACCTATAGTGGATATTTCTTCTTCTGGTTTTCGCCAAAATTGTAAGAAAACGAATTTATTCGTTTCTCTTTCCTGCTTCATTTTTTCTTTTAGTTTTCTTCTCTTTTTGCTTTCAAGATCATCAAAGTAAAACAAAATATTTCTGATAAGCAATTCGTGTTCTACTTCATCTATTGATAAATGAGAGACATCCATAGATTGATACAATGTTTGCAAATCCATTTTCCAGATCTCTGTATCAAAATAATATCGCAAGCTGATTGAATTAAAACGAAACATCTATTGTCTGGGACACTTAGTTGAATCAAGACCCATTAACAAAAAAAAACTCCAATCTTATATCGTTTTCTAATTATCGCACTGGTATCCGATGAATGCACAGCAAAATAATAAGCTTTTGTGAGAGTACGCGCACTAGTAGTATGCTACCTAAAATTGTTTCACTTCACTGGTGGAAAGCCGATGGTATTACTGAATTCAATTGTTCAACCTCTACGTAGAAAATTTGATAACCTAATTGTACTCCGGGGAGAATAGTTCTTTAAATCTTTGATAGAAACGATTTTAGTTGGGCGCCAATTGTTAAAAGCGGTCAGACGGACCACTTCGCTAGACCCTCGATCCCTGGTCTAGCCAACGGGGATCACTGAGGCTGGGTTCTACAACAACCTCTTTTGTGGTGGCTTTAGCTTGAGCATGAAAGAGGATCCTTTAGGGTCGACTGTAGGTATGTACAGATTGTTCGATCAAGGAATTGAAAGCACTTTCTCTCTTGTTAATTAGCATTTTATTTCGACTTACTGTGTGTGTATGTGGGTAGTGTCTCACGATGCGGCCGGATGCAAGCACGAAATGCGGAAATGTCGCCTTTGCCTTGACGCTCGGGGTAATGCCTACGCCGAATCCTCTTGTTATATTCATTACAGTTCCTTTGGTAATTTCTTCAGATTTACCTATAGGAATTTTTCAGAATCCTTTTTAATTTCACGTCTGATCTGCTATTGAAGTTTGCTAATAATTATCTTGAAACTTTCCTCAGAACACTCCTGAAAATTTCATCAGACTTTTGTTTGAATTCTTCTTGCATCTCCTTAAAATTCCTTAATATTTATTAATTTCAATGGGTTTACTATCTCTCGAACTAAATATTTCTTTAGAATTCTACCCAACATTGTTAATCTTCGAAGTGCCACACTGTTGAAAAACAAGCTAATTATGACAACTTTAAAAATATTTCAATCGGTCAGATACTTGGGAAAGTTTAAGAGTCATTGGAGTTTCATGGAAGAGAAAACATTCAAAGTTACAAATTGTTTTTTTTTTTTTTTTTTTTTCTTTATTAGAGTGACTTTCAGGAATTCCAAATTGGATTTCAAGAACAAAATATTATAAAATTTTAAAATCTGAATAATAAGTCTCAGTCGTTCAAATAAAACCAAGAATCATGAGGATTTTCGTAGTCTGTAATTATAAAGAAAACATATTTTGGCTTTTTTTCGAGTTTGCTGAAGTAATGAATCTAGCTTCAATCTGATTCTGAAACTCAAACAAATGTGGAAGATAAAATTTAAGGACTTCACTATTATGAAAAAAGGAAAAAGTGCGATTCAAACATGACATTCACAAGATTTTCGATTTAAAATGTTATGATCGAAATTCTTTCCAACTGCTATTTGATACCAACTATTAATATTTTTTAAATAAATAAAAAAAACTTTAAATATTAATTTTATCTGATCTGCATTCTGAGATGCCATTCAAGGATAAATATTTATGATTATGAATGATCTACTCACTCATTGGGACATTGAAATTTTGTGTTCTGTTATAATAATCTTCATTGCGGAAAAGATCTTTCAACAGAGCTTGGCATTACTGGGAAAATTAACAGTAACTATCAAACTATTATCAGTTCCTGATGCAATGCTTCTGCTTCGAAATGAGACGGGCTCATACAGTTTTTATTTTATCCAGAAAATTATGATTTCGAGGCTATCAGAACTTATTTAATACAATAAGCTTGGGCAAAACCTTCAGATAGGAAAGTCATATATCCCAAAATGAAATGCATATAATCAAAATAATGCGATGCACATTAAACATCGTTAAATCATGGCTAAAAATTTCTCCCAGAAGACTCCATCATAATGTAACGTCAGTTAACTGGGAATTGATTGCCATTTCGAAACGGTTTCGATTTTGACACAGAGATCCTTTTCTCGGTTAAAGTTTTAAATTCAATTGAATTGGTTGGCATTTAAATGACCTTTTCGTTATGAATTTTCGATGGCATACAATGAAACAGTTTTTTTTTATTCGGATCTGTAAACACAGGTTGACTGGAATGCGCAATAAAATTTAATGAATTATCCTCTGCAAGCATAGCGTGATGCCACGTAGCTTTTTTCATGTTACCCATTTCTCCAGAACAATGCTTTATGGGAATCAATTCCCACGAATGAAACATCAGTGAATGTGAAGTGTAATTTAACAATCAAATTTTTTATTTTCTGATGAATGTGGGCGTCTTAGTGGAATACCTGTATAATGAGAGAGAGAAGGATTAGTATTTTCCATTTAATTCCACTACTTTATTTGCTTATCCTTGACAGATACGCGTATTTCGTCTACAATGTGCAGACTTCTTCAGTGTCTTGTACTAATACTCGACTCGTCGAGTATTAGTACAAGACACTGAAGAAGTCTGCACATTGTAGACGAAATACGCGTATCTGTCAAGGATAAGCAAATAAAGTAGTGGAATTAAATGGAAAATACTAATCCTTCTCTCTCTCATTAAATTTTTTATTGTTTTTTTCGATTTCGTTATATTTATGGCTACCGCTTGCCCGGTGGTGGGGTCCATCAGCTTTTTTGTTGGTCGAAATTAAAAATCCAGCTCAATAAAACTGACAGTAACAAAAGTTTATGAAGGCTGACAAACTGGGGCTTCTATTTTGGAATTGCTCTCTGTGCACGAGCAAGACAAGCCATCAAGCTGCCATAAAGCAGCATTATCTGGCACTTCACTTAGGGACAACAACAGCAGCAACAAAAAAAAGCGTCTCTGTAATTGTGGAAATCCCTTATCAAATTTCCTGCAGCCCAAACTGGCAATGATGTTTAAATCGGTTCAAATAAACACGTACCATAAAGTGGGAATTCTCTTTATGCTTTTTTTTTTGTTCCTAGTCAGAGGAAGCAAAAATTTCGTTCAGGTAGGTGCGAAGAAGAACTGCAGATATTCGGAAAAACATTCCACTCACACTTCTTTCACCTCCTGTTTTGTCCTGGAAAAGTTCGTAGGAGCATGAGGAAGTCACGCGCGTTAAATTTTCATTCACAGAACAACACCAATCCTGCTGCTGGGTGTTCCGTAAAAAACATGCTTCAATTGCTCGACGGAAAAAAGTGCCTTTTTGTTGCCACTTTCAACAAGCACCCTCCTCCTGCTTCCCAGTTGGGTTATGCCGCTGTTTTATTGGATGGTTCTGGTGTAGGGAGAAAGAGAGAGAGTTGCGGGTTCCTCCTTTCGGCGCAGCCCTGTTTGGCTCCGCTTTGCGGTGTGGCCATACAATAACGACCCGAGTCCCATTTGGCACACCTTGCCATCAAACGTCTTTCGTCTGCGTTTTGGAAAGCGTATAAGAGGCCTATCATCGTCTCTGTGCTTGTTTAGGAATTTATAATTCCGGAATGGGAAAATCATTGTTGAAAGGAAAATGAAGCCAACTTGGCCACGTTCAATTCGGGGGATTTGGAGGACGTTCGGTATGTTGAATATGTACGCAACCATTTGATTAAGCCAATGGTATTCACGTGCTGTCGTAATCGAACTTTGAGCGGCTGGCTTGGAGCAGGATACTCTCGGGAAAGACATCAAACGCAAATGCTGGTTCCATTGTAATAATGTTAGATTTTTGAAATAGATAACGACCTCGCGTTAGGAAAAGTGCTGTTCAGTGGTCCAGAGGTTGACACAATTTAACTGAAAGGTAATGCTGATCCGCTCATTGGTCGTCAATGTTTTCCTATTTCAGAATCAAAATCACATAGAAACAATAGTGCTTTGAAATGATTACTCCAGCCACCAAAAGTGATGGATTCGGGTTTCATTCCAACGGACAATACATCCAATTCGATGCTTCATACCTACGGTCATGCTTGATGGATCATAAAACCATTCATCAGAGATATGTGCGTTTAGGGCGAGGGTGTTTGAATGAATGGAACAAAGAGGAATAATCATTCCATTGATTGACGGGGATTCAGATCGATTTTCTAGCATAGAAAACCACGCATACGGAAAAAGCGTGTGCAACTTGCTATGCGATCTAAACATGGAACAAAGAAGATCCAGTGTTGGCAGTTTTGCAAAGTAGTTTCATTGTCGAGTGCTGCATGAATAAACTCGGTGAAAAAATCTGACGATATCCATGAGATGCTATTCCGAGCTATAAAACACGAATTTCCTTTTTTTTTTTTTTAATTCTTTATTTAAGAGATTTTTAGCCTTAGGCTAGTTCATCTCTAGTCAGTTGTTGAGGTCTCAGAAGGAGAACCTCCTACGGAGTTGTTGGACATAGTAGGCTTAAAATGAGTTTCTCCTGACAATGCCTGGGGGGAACACCTTCATGAGGGCCAGAAGACTCATCCCATGTGATGCCCCTCCGGCTGCTGAGGCTGTAAGGTGACAGCTCTCCTGGCTCTTCACGAAGACGACAACAAGTTCAAAATGAATAACACAAAACTGAACGAGACGACACCGTGACGAGGTCCAAAGGCTCATCCCGTGCGGTGACGTCCCGACAGTCAGAAGAAATTAAACATATAAACAAATGAACGAGTATACAAACGAATATAACAGCTTTGGCTTTCCTAGATCTCATGGTATAGGTTAGCTTCCCTGAGGAAAACTAGCAGGGCGTCTGCAGCGGCTGAATCCTCTCCGAGTAGGTTCCGGATGCTGGAGGTGATCCCATAGGATTCCCTGAGGTCCTGGAATTCAGGACAGATGCAGAGGACGTGTTCAACGGTGGCCGGGAGATGGCAGATGGCACAGCTTTTGCGGAAGGGACCTCCGCCGCCGAAGTTATAGTAAAACCGACAGTGGCCAGTCCTCAGCCTTGAGAGCACTCTCTGATCCCGGAGGTTTGGGAGGTTCCATGCCTCCGTGGTTCCTTTGATCTTCCGGATGAAAGGCTCTCGAGTGCTGAACCACTGGTCGACCCAGGCTTTCTGTACGGTTGTTTTGATCCATCGCCGGAGATCTGGAAGGGGGACTTTGTCCGTGAATCTCGGACCCGCCGGTCCAGTTCCAGCGAGTTTGTCTGCTGCTTCATTACCAGGTATTCCGCAATGACTGGGGATCCATGTAAAAATGGTGCTGCTCGGGGCGTATTCGATGGTAGCTTGAATCCACGGGTGGGTGGGAACTGCTGAAGCTAGCTCTTGGATAGCACTGAAGGAATCAGTTAGTATTACGATTGGCTGGTTTGCTGGTGACGTGGCCGCATGGAAGATTGCGGCCGCTTCGGCCGAGTAAACGGAGCATTGTTGTGGTAAGCTGCTGCTAGCGAGTATGCCACTTCCGGATACTCCGATGCCAACGCCCGTGTTGGATCGGGAACCATCGGTGTACCGGTGAGTGTGTTCGGCGTAATGGGTTCGGAGGCGTTCGATTACTGTGCGACGGAGGGCCGCGGAGTTGTCTCCTGCTTTAAATCGATTTTTTATGTGATAGTCAATATGAATGCTGGAAGAGAGCCAGTTCTTCTCTCCGTTCCAGTGGGTCCATCGTCTGCAGGATTCTGTCCCCCTCGTCGAGGAGGAAGATTCTGCCGTTTCCTGCTGTCTTGGCGGCGAAGGATGCAGCTTTGAAGATGGTAGCGTTAATGATGCGGTACCGAAAGGGTAGAACCCCTGCTTCAACACAAGCGGAATCAGCGGGGGTGGAAGGTAGAAGGCCAGAGATTATCCTGATGCTGCTGTTGAAGGTTGGACCGAGGATCTCAACCTGCTTCTCAGAGTTGATACACGTGAGCTCTGTTCCATACAGCAGCCTACTATCGATGATAGCTTGCGCTACCCGGAAGCGAACTGCCCGATTATTAGTGCGATGGGGCCTGGAGATGGTCCGGATCAGGTTAACTCTGCTTCGGCAGTCTTTTTTGACCTGGTTGAAGTGCGGCACGAAGGAGAGGGTGCGGTCCACAAGTACCCCCAGGATACGAATGGATTTCTTGATGGGGATAGCCTGGTCGCCAATCTTAATGGCGGTCCCGTTGACCCGGTGTCTTGAAGGGCAGACGTGGCATCTGATGCTTTTTTTGGCAGAGAGCTGATAACCGGCAGTTTGGGCCCATTTTACTACGGCTGAGACCGCGGCTTGCGTGAGGTTCCGGGTGCGTGTTGTGGTGGGCCCCGTTACCACGATGAGGACATCGTCGGCGTACACAAAGATGCGGATGTTCTTTGGTAACTGGCGGAAGATTCCGTTCATCGCGATAAGGAAGAGTGTGACGGAGATCACTGATCCCTGGGGGACCCCGGTTTCCTCCTGAAAGCTCCTGGATTTGGCATTTCCGATAGCAACATGGAAAATACGGTCAGTGAGGAAGTTCCGAACGAAGTGGACCATGTGTCCGTTAAGTCCCCAGCTGACGAGTTTGGCAAGTACAGCCGGAGTCCAGGTCCTGTTAAAAGGCTTAGAGATGTCTAGTGAGACCATTTCAGTGTGGTGTCCCTGGTCGAAGGCGTCTTTCAGCACGTCTCCCAGTGTGGCGAAATAGGTAGAGGTGCCGAATCCTGACCTAAAGGCGTGTTGTCGATGGTCGAGAAGATTGTTGGTCTCCAGGAATGTCCTGAGTCTGCGATTAACCATCCGCTCGAAGACCTTGCTCATGCAGGAAGTGAGTGCGATGGGCCGGAACTTCGTCGTGTCCTTCGTGTTTTTACTCGTCTTCGGGATTGGAATAACCAGGCTCTCCCTCCAGGATGCTGGATAGGAGTCGGTGGTCCAGAGCTTGTTGAACAGGTCGAGCATCAGGACTTGCCCTTCGATCGGTAGGTGTGATAGTAGGGGGTACCCGAGTTCGTCGGGACCCGCTGATTTCCCCTTGCTCTTGCTGAGTTCAAATTTCAGCTCCTCCCATGAGAAAACCCCATTTATCCTGGTGTTAGTGTTATCATTCGGAACGTTGAAGTTACCTATGGAGGTCGGTGTGGCGTTGTTGCGGCGACGGAAGTTCTCGCTGTATCCGGGAATAGCCGAAAGCTCCGCGAAGTATTTGCCTAACTCATCGGCTACGGCTGTTGGCTCTGATACGGTGATGCCACCGGACTGCACTTGCAGTGGGGCTGAACGTCTCTTTCCGCTTAGCGCATTTACCCGGTTTCAAATGTCTGCCGAGGACTGGGAAGCGTCGATGCTGTCGAGAAAGTTCGTCCAGCTCTCTTGCTTGGCACTTCGAATCGTTTTCCGGCATTGGATGTGAAGTTCACGGTAACGTTCGAGGATGCCGTCTCTGTCAGGGTCGTCTGGTCTAGTCTTTCTCAACTTACGGAGGGCCTTTCGTCGGGCCTTCACCGCTGCCTTGGTTTCGTCGGACCACCATCTGAGAGCCTTCCGTCCGGGGATGCTGCTGGTTTTGGGTATTGAGGCGACGGCTGCTTCGAGGATTAGTTTCGTAAGGTCGGGGATATTGCCTGGATTCTGCTCCTGGATACCGGTGAGAATGGCGTTCCTGTACACCTCCCATTCGGCTTTGTCATACATCCAGCGTGGTCTACGGGTGGTTTCTGGGGCTGTGGCAGATGAGAGTTGGATCTGGATCGGGTAGTGATCGCTGCCGTACAGGTCAGCGTTGGTACACCACGTAACCTTTCCAGCCATGGAACGGCTGACCGTAGAAACATCGATAGCGGTGGCGTGTCTCCCATTAAAGAACGTCGGGTTTCCATGGTTAAGGACCGTCATGTCCTCCTGCTCGAAAGTATCCATAAGGAGGTTTCCTCTGGGATCCGAGCGAGGGCAGCCCCAGGACGGGTGGTGCCCATTGAGGTCACCAACGAACATCCTCGGTTCGGGCAACTTCCTGAAAACATCTGTCATTTTGTTGGCAAGATTTGACACGTACGTTCTCCCCGAATTTCCTTTTATTAAATATGCTTTTGTAAGTAGTTTGACGATTAATAAATAATAAAGAAATAAATAAAAGCTCTGATAAATGAGTATTTTATGGCTTAAACAGCATGGTTGGTTGGTTTACAACATTCTTAACAGCTTCATTTTAAGTCATTATGTGAACTTGAAAATTCCCGTTACATAATCGTATAGCATTCTAGGCAGCTTCTTACTAACTTGTGCAAGATATAGGAAAATATATGGATTTTTAAGGAAAAAAACACACGGTAAAAGAAAATCACAAATGTTGGTCCGAAAAGGTTTAAAGATTCTTACGAAAGCAACGTGAACTTCGCGGCAGTTCTGAAGATGTCATGGCAGTTCCATGAATATCAGGAAAATAGCGAGAACTTCAAAGAAGTTCCGAGAACTACAGGTCGATTTATGTATCATAAGGACGGTTTAATTTATTTCAGGAGCATATTGGGAAGGTCCAAGAAGTTTCTAAAATTGAAGTATAGTCCAGAAAAATTTCAGAAACTTCACAGGGAGGTTAAGAGATCTAACGATCAATTACAGATCATCATCAGTTAATTAGTGAGAACTTGAGGGAACCTGAACTTCAAAAAATATTATAGATTTCCTGGGCAGTCCCATTAGTTTTACATAAACAATTTTAGAACTTTGAGGGAGTCCTGAGGAATTAAAAATTAAATGCTTATAATTTCAAACTGTGATAATATAATCAATGTTCCGAAAAATTTCTGAACACTTTGGAAACTTCAGAGGCATAAAGAACTTCAAGGCAGTTCCACGCTAAATGACGAATCGGAAAAACTTGATCTTCTCCGACTGGCATTAAACTTTAATTGTTTGTTATGGGCAATGTTTCACATTTTTTGCTAAAATTCGACCGTTTTGGATCTTGAAAAAAAATTCAAAATGGCGTCATTGGAATTCTATTAAAAGTTATAGCACGAAAACTGTACTTCTGATCAAAATGATGTCTGATACAAAGTTGAAGAGAAAAATAATTTCACTCTGGGAAAAATATACAAACAAATGTTTGAGTAATTTCAAGTAATAATTCTATAACAACGATGAAAACCTGGATTGCTCAAAATGTAGGCGTATGAACATTGGAAACTTTTGAAATGTTCAAAATTGTGGCACAAATCGTAGAACAGGATATTTTGTTATGAAATGTGTACCTATAACACAATTTTTGAGTCATTTTAAATCATTTTCTGTAAAAAAAATCACACAACTGCGTGCCAAAAAAAAGGTTCAACCATTTCCCACGAATTTTTAATTTTAAAGTGTTCATAGTTTACACCATTCTAAAAGCTTTTATATTTCATTGGCTATTTACTGTAAAACGAAAATCAAAAATTGAACATGGACATATTGAGAACAATTTTTTTTTTAATTATATGTAGATGAAAAGGAAGTAATCTCGGACTAAATGCCCCTAATTTGGGCCCATACATAAATTCAGCAATCGACTAAATTTCCAATAGTGACCATAAATATTCATTAGTTTCGGCATCTAGATAAAATTGATAAATATCAGATTTTTAGCGATGAGCCGAATCTTAGATGTATAAGCCAAGATTAGAATCATTTACCCTACCTAAAATAAATAAAAAAAGCACATTTTTTGATAATTTTCCCCAAAATTCTAGATCTACGATTTTTATTCAGTTGTCAAGTGTTAATACATTCAAAGTGTTTTTATGTTACTTCATACGCGAAGTTAACGATTTTCAGAGATGGTTGGAAATGCTTACATGAAGCTTTAGTGTGATGATTTATTAGCTAGAGAATGATCTTTAGAAGAGGGTAGGTGGATAGTTCCGTTAGAGTACGGCAGTATGAAAATTGAATAGAAGTTGAAAATGAGCGAAGGGCCATTAATGCGACAGTTTTTAGAGATAGACGCACATTTTTGCCTAACCCGTACGATGTACGCGGGGACTTGAAGTATGTCTCCAAGTCCACAGGCAAAAATGTGCGTCCCTCTTTTTGCTCATAAACTGACTGCGGCTGTGGAATAGTTCTAGCGACGTTTTCATCACTACCTAAAGCCCCACGTCGCGAGAGCATTTCCAGTCGATGGTGTGTTATAATGCAGTTCTTCTTTACCCAACTATTGTGTTGCTCCTCTCGTCATGACCAACGTGATCATCTCAGAGAGAAAGCAGTAGGGTGGTAGTTGCGTGCTGTACCATCATCAGCATTGTTGAACTGCTCCGCTCATACTGCTAATAAAGCAAAGAAATGGCTTACGGAAAATATTTCGTAAATTTGGGAGGAAGAAATTTGGCCCCCAAGCAGTCCCGATATCAATCTGTTGGATTATTTTGTAGAGGGCGTCGTCCAACGGGATACCAATAGAACCCCTCACACCACACTTAAGTCGCTAAAAGCTAAAATCAAGGCAGTGATGACATCTATGGATCGAAACATTTTAAAACGTGCATACTACAGTTTCCGGAAGCGTCTAACTACAGTCGTCGAAACAGAAGGCAATTTTTTTAAATATATTTACTTACAACTTCCATATGTTGCGAAAGAAAATAAATCTCGCACAAAATTCATTGCTAGAATAACTAACTGGTGTATTTTTTCTCAAATATGCCATTTACTGCGAAAATTCGTCACGCACCCTGTATAGAGGAAATGGCTCTAATGTTGGCCTATGGATCTAAGATTGGGACGATCGCTAAAAATCTGCTATTTATCAATTTTATCTAGATGAACCCTGTTCAACAATGGGGTGGACTGTATCACCGGACGGACAGTTTCTTCGGATTTCGGTACTTTTTGTCAATGCTCACGTGACGTTTGGTAAAACACAGAAAACACTTTTATTGCGGTCAAGTGGTAAACTATATCGGACACTGTTTATTCCTAAATTGGTTTTTGGATAGACGAATAGACAGAGTGTATCTTCTGCGCGCGCGGATGATTGATTGATTGATTTATCTTTATTAGGGAGGCTTTCAGCCTGGGGCTGGTTCGCCTCCACCCGCGCGGATGATTTATTACTACTGTTTTCCTGATCGGTAATCTTCTCCTATCTGTTGCTTGCGATCGTGTACATGGAATGTGAGAAATAGAGAGTGAGTGCCTATTGCTGTGTGAAGTGTGTGATAAGAATGGTGAAAACAGAGATAGTGTGTAGCTGTATAACAATTTAGTGTAGGGTGACCAACATCTTATTATGTGCCAACAAACCCGTTATTGGGAAGGTACTTATGAATATTTTTGGTCGCTATTGAAATTTTAGTCGATTGCTGAATTTACGTATGGGCCCAAATTAGGGGCATTTAGGCTGACATTACATCCATTTCCCCTATATATAAAAAAAAGTTTGGTCCTGTAGCTGATCCGGAACATCAGTAAAAGTGGTCAATTCATGAAACTAGTCCTAGAGCCCCGCGGTTTTTTTTTAAACCACTCATAGCCACCTTATCACAATAAATTCACGGAGACGAGCCAGCCAACGGCTGAAAGTCTCCTTAATAAAGATACATAAAAAAAAAAAAAAAAAACAATAAATTCAGAGTTTGGACCCGAAATTGATACTGGGATGGGATGGTCCGCTAAAAGATCCGGAATATCCGTAAACGTGGTTGATCGCGCACGGGAAGAACTCCCTACGTTGTGTGAATAGATGGTGAAATTAAAACACAATCCTTAGCACTTCAAGAAGGTCTAGAGAATTTCTCAAATGTTTACAGATTTCCAAGGCAGTTATGTGAACTTCACCACAGTTCTGAGAACAACGTCTCAGATAGTTTTATGGCGAGCTGAACGCAGAAAATTTTAGTCATAAAGGGTGGAACAAACCAAAAGTTGTCAACTCATATATAGTGTATTTCTGTTTAGCATGCATTTTAGAAAATAACAATCATTTTGTTTTAAATCATTGTCTCATGACATTTTTGGTTTTTGTTTTTAGCATTCTCTTTTTAAGATGGCTACCAAACAAGAGAATCTCTTCGAGAGCGTGGTTTACAGGCTTGGACTTAAGTCGTGACTTCATTCACGTGATGAGTAGACTTATGTCCAACCACTACTCGCTAGAAGCTCATCTCAATAGAATAAACCTCGTGGACAGCAACATCTGTCGGTGAGGAAACGGTTACGATGACATCGATCACGCAGTTTGGCAATGTACGGATAATGACGCCGCCAGAGAGCGACTTTTGAATACCCTTGAAGCCCCAGGAAGACAACCCTATGTTCCTATCAGAGTCGTGTTGGAAACTCGCAAATTTAATATATATGAATTTAATTCCTTTTTCTTTTGTCTCTCTTTATTAGTTTTTGTTTTCCTTGTCCCCCCGTTTCGATGAGTCGCATCGTCGCTCACTGGTCACCATAGCCGGTCGAACTCCAGACGAAACTAGAACCGCACTACCGTTCATACTGGCGACAACTCTCTGATGTGACAACGAAACCTTACCCCCAAGCTCTTCCCCTGATCCTATCCTTCAACATTGTACCTCTCTTACCTCGAGTAAGCCGCGAGTATTCGGCCCAACTCCTATTAGACATAGAATTAAGTGAATTTTGTTACACACAAAGAACAATTAACTATCGGCTCCGTAAAGCTAACGCGATTGAGCCTTCCAAATAAACGCACTAGTTTTCGTTAAATTGAAATCATTCTTTGCGAAGGCTGATTTTAAACAGCTTCCTGATCAAGAATGTTATACTGCAACCGGAACAGAACTATGTAGTTCATGATGACTTCCTTGTTTTGTTTTCCGTCGACTATCGACCCATCAACTTATGAACCGGGGACCAACGGCTTTACTTTCCTTCCGAAGGAAAACGTGATTAGAGATGTTATGCCTCAGAAGATCCCGGCGGCGCCGACTGGGATGGAACCCAGACCAGCTGTGGTTTTTTTTTTTTTTTTTTTTTCACAGATGGGAATC